TATATATATATATATATATATATACTTTTGTGAAGCATTATTTAAACAAATGCCTTGTTTTTCAAACGATAACTGCAAAAAGAAGATATCACAAGGTCAAAAAATTAAACGTTTTTATATGATCAATATTTATTTATATGTAAAACTACACTGTATTATAGATTTTTTTTTTAGTAATTAATGATCATTTAAATTTGAATTTAAGTGGAATGTTTAGTGTGTACAATTGTTTAAAAAAAATCCTAGCCTGGCTTCATTTTGATCTAGGATCAGTTATTATGGTCCATGTAGGACACTTATCTTTTCAAGATGTAAAATGACTTTGATTTCAATAAATGTAATTTTAGCATATGAGAAAGAATTATGATTAGCAAATAATAAACAGCTGACTAATAATGGCTGAATATTCTGTACAGTATATTCAATTAAAACATAGTCTTTTCAAGAGATGTTACTTCTGTAAAAAATCTGTCTCAAATTCAGTGACACGATCAGTGTGCGTTCATGTTACTCTCTGAGTAAACAAGCTTTAGCAATACACTGTGAACAGATTGTGTGCAGAGAAACAAGTAGTAATACTTTTTAGTGTAAATGTCAAAATAACACAAAAGCTAGTGTGTAACTGCGGTCCGTTTCACACATCCTAAGCTGGGTTTTTTTTTAAAAACGAGAATTTTAAGTAATTTGAATTGTGATTAAAGAGCTCTTGGTGATAACGTTGTTTAAATGTGTAGTTCTCAGCATCGCTGGCTATTCCTCTTAAACGATGCATGCATTTCCTGTGATCTGTTGGGCGCTAAGCACACAAAGAAAGTGGGTGGCTTATTATATTGATGTACAGCAATATTGTTGTTGTTTTACGAGAAAATACCACAGTGACAAAAATAAGTGAGTATTACCCATAGGGCCAACAAGCATGTTGTTTTTTAAAAACACATCATGGCTATTTTTATTATATCCGGGTATTATTATTACAGTGCTTTTTGTATAATAGGTTGAGAACATTTTAAATGACATATTTTGGTCTAACAAACAACACTAACAACATCTCTAATACCTCTCATTCAAAGTAGTGGGATTGCAGTGCTGCCACAGATTCTACACACAAACTTACCCAGAACTAGAAAACGTGCATTTTATACCTCATACAACATTCAACAGAAATGACAGAACTTGCAGCACATGAGCCTGCAATCACCACTGCACATTTCAACTGCGGAATATACATAATAATGGGCTGATGGGAAGCGAAGTAAACTGTCAGCGTTACACGGGTATGGAGATGAAAATGTGTGGGGTTTTATATTTCACAAGACAGAAATTACATGTGTTTTTTTTTTCTCCCTGTAAGTGAAAATGTATTATAACTAATACTGTAGAATAAGCTATGGCTTTAGATGTAATATATGAAACGTTGCTTTATTGAAGATTCGGTTTTTTTTTTTAAATGGAGGAGTATGATAGGCTACACTTAATGTCACCTCATAGCACAGAAAACAAGAATGTAGTGTTTAGAATACTAATAATACAGTGGTTTCACATACTTGTAATGACTAGATTCATTTGAATGTTCTAGATTATGTTAACTGCAGCTAAACTTGCTTTTGTGGAGAGTTGCTGCCTTTTTATGTTTTTCTTTGTGCATATTTTATGTCACTGACCGTGATGAGAAATTATTTTTGTTGGATGTATGGTAAATCTTTTTGCACATTATAGACTTCATTTTGAAACATTAAATGTTTTTGACAAGTGAATATGAAGTTGAACTTTTCTAATAATAATCTTTTTGTATTAGGACAAAATTAATGATTAAAGGCAGTAAAACTGCAGATGATTATGTAAGTTTATAAATAACGTCAACTTTGTGGAAAAATACAGTAAAAGTAATAATAATACAACATCACAAAGCACATAATAAAAATATTTACTCCATACATTTAACATTCAACAAAGCTAATACACATCTGAATACGTTAAGGCATGTTGGTGAATGTAGCAACAACGCTTACACAATCAAGACAACAGAAGTTATCTGAATGGGTAACATTTTCACAAGCTGAAAAAGACAATACACAACACAACATTAAAAACAATTAGAGAATAAATACATTTTAGCATATGCTGTAACCATATGTCAGAAAGTTCACAGTCTTTTGTAACTGAATGCTTATGAATTCATGGTCCCGAATTCATATTCTATCCACTTATTTTTTGAAACAAAAAAATATGCAAAAAGCATATAGAATCAGTTCAGTCAGACTCAACTGCTCAGAGTCATATGAGCAATTATTTTCACCTATTAAAATATATCAATACTGAAGTGTGCCTCCAAATCAATGTTAGAATGATTATTATTCATGAAAATAGATGTTATGTAAATATGAATTAATTTATAATTTATTAATTTAAAATTAAAACACCAAATAACAAATGTCGGCAAATATAGTACATCAAGTCAAATATATAGGCTACAGCAAGCATATATTTACAAACACATTTAGCAACAATAAAACAAGATATCATTTCTACCAAACAAGAAACTTTACAGTCTAGTGCTCCAGATGTGTGCACTGCAAAAGGATTCTTAAATAGGCCATTTTCAAAACAGTATTATTCATTATAATACTCATAACTACTCAAAATACTCATATCAATAAGATTAATCATCTTTATCATTTGTATCTACTTTGTAAGTACTCTTCGTACTTAGATTGTAACTCAGATTTGTGTGACTGTGCTGCTCTCAGTAAAGAGGGTTCGCCTTCTCTTACTGTATCTCAAATAATTTTGTGTCTGCCACTTCCACAGTCTCTTCTTCAGTTCTGCTTGTACCTGAAAACACAAACAAATGCATATGCGTTTTTGAAAGCAGAATGTATTTGCTGTTTTACATATGCACTACCAGTCAAAGGTTTAGATCAGATTTTGTCATGTTTTTTTGTAGTCTTTTATGATCTCCAAGGCTGCATATGTTTGATGAAAAATAATGTTAAAACAGTATTATCGTTATAACTATTACAATTTAAAATAACTTCTATTTTAATACATTTTAAAATGTAATTTATTTCTGTGATAGCAAAGCTGATTACTTAAGTCTTCAGTATCACATGGCCTTAATAAAATGTAACTGTAACAGACTCAGAAGCATTAAAAAAATTCTTAAATATTCTAAACTTTTGACATTGGTATATTTATTTACTATTAGGAAACACTTGTGGCTTACCTCTCCATTGAGAAAACAGTATAACAGAGCCACAACAAAACCCTGAGATATAACGAAACGCAGTATAACAGTCAGTCAGTAAGGATGCATTAACAATTAAATACAGCTCAACTGAGCAAAACATATGCAGCTATTAGTTGACATAAATGGTATTACATTTTATATTATATATACACATTATATGTATATTTTACATTTACTCAATATAGTATATTTACATATTTGCCATATATATGACACAAAAGCTCATATATAATGTGATATCACAAAATATTGTACATCAGACAATTCCACAAGTCATGAGCATTAGTATTCTGTGAATTTCATAGATGCTGGGCTGTACACACCTGAAAGGGGCCCAGGCCAAGTTCAAGAAAGTGGCGAGCGTTTTCTCCTGTGTTCTCTGGCAGGAAGGCAAAAACCATGTAGTGCATGCCAAACAGAGGGATCAGGAAAAGGGTAGACTTGGCCAATCTCCTACAAGTATAAATGAAGTTCAGCAATACTTCAGATTAACAACAAACAATGAAAGTACATTTTCGAGGGAATGTGTGTGGGAGTAAAAATGTGTTCATGCTGTAAATAAATAAAACACTACTCGCAACGTAAGAATTTCAACATGGCAATAACACATTACTTCAGTAGCTTGTGCAATATTTGCCAATTGTCTGTGAATCAAACATTTTTAGATTAATTGCTGCCTTTGTTTTGAGTGTGCTTTATATTCCTTACATGAAGTGGTTGGTATCACTGCCACCCATTCCTGGAGACTTCAGCTTCTGCACAAGAATCCGGATCACATTTATGAAGATGAAGAAATTGATCTATAAAAAAAGTGTCTCTGTATAATAAATGAAGGAAACAGCTCATATACTGAACACTACATATCAACATACTGTGGATATATTCCGAAAGAAACAATCGAAATGACTAGGGCAAAAGAAAAATGTAAGTATTTAAGAGCATTACATACTGTCTTACATAACTTTTTAACTTTACTTTCATATGTTAGAAAATGTCATTTTAAAATGGCACAACCATGGCACATGAAAAATTCATAATACTTCATATATTTTGCACAATTCTATTGCAACCAATGTTTTCCATTATATTCAGGATGTAGTCTTATATATTTGATCGAATCAGCTGTACTTTACCAGGAGAGACACTGTGATTGGTCCTTTGATAATCCACCAAAAGTAAGCAACATCTGTGTCATCCCAGCACCTGCAACATGAGCTTATGATTATTTATGAGAAGACCAGTAACTGCACCTTCACAAATAGTGAAACATTTATTTTTCAGTATTTATCACTATATATCAAAGTATCACACAATAGCTTAAAGAGTTTAGAACAATCTGGACTTACCCCCTGTTATCCAAAAAATTCCTGGCTAGAACCCAGATGGCCAGTATTAGTGTTGGTAGACCTACAGGATACAGAGAGCAGAACTAAATAAATACAATTTCATCAAACTGAACACAATGAAATCAAGAATAGGTTTTATATCTTCATATCTACCCTAGTAAAAAAGTAATATATTTAAAATACATTATTTCATACAAAGTATAGTTTAAATCTATTAACATACTGGAGTTATACTGACATATCACTCAAGACTTACTGATATAAAAATTATATAAATTAAACATAATTTGGATTACTACTTGTGCACAATGCACATTTCTTAATATTAAGCCTAAAATATGTTTTAATGTCACTGTTGATGAGGACTGTATGATCTTTGAATAATATCAGTCTTTAAATGCAAGATATTTCACTTTAGCACAATCAAATATACTTCAGTATATATTTAGTTGGACTTCAGCACTACTTCCTCACAATTCAAGTGCATTAAGTACATAATTACAGTAGTTGTTCCAATTTAGCAGACTTTATGTATACCAGTTTAGTATCCCAAAAGTACAATTGGACGGTATTTTTATTAAGCACATACCGGTAAATATGTAAATGTATTTGTAGTATACTTAGCATGAAATAAGTGTATTTCAAATACATTTTAGTACACTTACTTTTCACTAGGGTAATACTGGGATAAAAATCTATTTTCCATCTCATGCCTACAGGTGTCACCAATGGAACATATAACACAGAATAAGGCCACACTATCATATACTACACTACACTTTGCAGTTTTTTTGTAGAAAAAAAGCAATATTACTGTTTTACATGTTAAAAAAATAATTATTATTCAACCCTTTTGACAATAACTAGTGTAAATTAGTAATATTTCATCATATTGTTTATTACATAACAATATGTTCTCAAGTATCTTCCATGCTTACCCCAGCCAATAAGTATATACCACCAGAAATACTTCTTTTGTGAGACAAAAGTTAGAGCTAGAAGAGTCTGTAGATACATCCCCTCCACCAGCAGCCAGAAGTAGTTAGCCAGGATACTGAACTGGAAGAAAGCTACCGCCGCCTTGCAAGAGGTCTGAAGAGGAAAACATTCAGAATCCAGTATAAGTGCTATAATTGTTCTGTCAAGATGTACTGTACGTTCTTAGAGGACAAAAGAAGATATAAAAGTACACATAATTGCCACAGCATGTAGCAAATTTTAAGACCTATGCATTACAAATAAAATTATGATATTGTTGCAGTGCTTAAGACGTTTCAACAGCATAATTTTAGGGTGGATAAATTAAGCAGTGCTGATAAGAAACAGCACAAATACCATCACAGAGAAATGGGAAGAAGAGCGTTAGCTATGTAAGAAGTGGTTTTTGTACTTCAAAGAAGGTGTTTGTGAGTTCTAGCGGAGGCAGATCTTGAAAAGTGTGCCTTTAAGGCACCGATGAGTCGACTGATACTGAGAGGGGTGGAAAAGTGGATGAAGAAAATGTGAAGCTAGTGTCACTATGCTGACAGAAACTGGCGTGAAGCTTAGAAATTTCTTTACTGTTTCAGATAGATGCTGCAGTGTCATACATTGTGACCTAATATGTTTACTGACCACAAGGCTGATTGGGAACATGAGCCCTGACATGTTGAATAGCGTGCATTAGCTTATTGAATGACATCTATAAAAAAAACGAATTCTGCATGAGTCTGTGACAGCTGGTGAGCCTCACTGTTGACATGAAGCAGTGGTCCAGATTCTCATCGGCAAAGAGAACTGCATCTTTGATGAAGATCGCACTGGCTCGCAAGATGAAGGAGGCAAAGAGATTGATGTGAATGTAGTTTCTTGTGCAGTGGAACTTCCTGTTTTGGGCAGAATAACATAGATTGCTAAAGTATTCAACAAATTGTCACAAACCACTTAAAATGTGTTTGGTTGCATGAGCTTTGTGAGGATTCTCATTGTACCTGAAGGCTGTAAACACAAAGATGGCAGAGATGAGGGAAATCAGCGAGGTAGCGTAACCTGCAGTGTACACCTGCCTGAAAGTGGAATAATATGATGTCTAGAACATAGGGAAAAAATAAAGGAAAAAGGGAACGTTACAGAATTATTTCCAGAGAAATATCAGTCTTTTATCAAGAGATTTTATAATGAAATGGCAAGTCTTTTCATTTTGATTTGTGCACTTCAACACATTTTGTTGTCCTTGAGGTTTATTCTTTACAGACAAGCACAAATTTGAATGTGACGATTTGATTTTGCAAGAATATTACATTCTTCAAAAAAAAAATTTAACTTTTATCCACATAGCTTGCTGGATCTTTGGTTCTTAATCTTAATAATTCTAAACTTGCAGGTTTCATGAATCATGTATGAGAGTATAAGGCTGGATGGAGACAAGAATAGTCTCACCGGTCTGAAATATCATGGATAAACGGCTTTTATATTTATCCAATGATAGTGTGCTGCAAAATGAATTAAAAATGTATGATGAAATAAAATTTCTTCATTCCGTTGTTTGTTATTTGTGCCACAACCTCGAGTGCAATAAATGAGAAATGCCCAAAACCAAGCTAACATAAATAGTCATGTTTAAAAAAAAAACTTTTATAAAATGTATAAAAAAATTTAAATGCACTTTTATTATTTTAAATTATTTATTCATGAAAAAAAATTTACTCCAACAGAGGCCATTTTAATGCCACCACCTGGTGAACTGCATGCAAAGGATTGTGGGATTTTGTAGGCAGGGAATGACTATGTACAATGTAAAAATGCCTCTTAATAGACAGGATGAAATGCAAACATTAGATTGAGAGATCCCTATGAATGCAGATTTTTTGGACATAGCTGATATTAAAAGCAGGTCATCTTATTCTGGGATTGCAGCATATGGAATTAACTATATTTCAGGTGCATATATAACCGCATTGCTACTTCCCCTGATGCAGGCACAGGTGAAAGTCATTATGAAAATAGAGTTTAAGTGGTAGAGATTAAATTTAGCTCTCAGGAGAGAGTATTATGCTCTTATATGACTGATTCAACTACCGGTAATTGGCTTGTTCACATTAGGAACACACTCATGTGTTAACCTTGGACTGCTTGTTTGTGTGTGTACTGAACATTATCATATCATCTCTCATTTTTCATTCAAAGTATTGTCTCTATTCTCATTACCATATGACTGAAAAAAAAAAGAAAAGAAAAAGAGATAATATAAGGGAACTGCTAGGAAGAGGAAAGGTTTTTTACTTTGAAGTGGGTGAGCTATTTTTTATTGGTAATATGAATACAATTTGCTCCCATCAAAAAAAGCAAAGTGGTCTTAACCCAGAGAACAAAAAAGTAAGAGATGTTTTCAAAGAAAATGAACGAAATGCAAAAGAGATCAACAGATGAGCTTGACCTTAAACGTTTGTGGCAGATTGTGGGCCTGACAGCGGAGCAAACAAAGCAACAGTGCAAAGTCCCTCTGAACAGTGTTTAAAAAGTTGAGAAATGCTCAACTTTATGCAAATAAGAGGCAAAAAAACCAAAAAAACAGGACGGCAGCTTTGAGGTGAAGGGAGCTGGTCAGGATTGCTTCTGCTGAATTGCTGCTGCTGTTGGTTAGGGCTGTTGTCGTAGATTATTGCTACTGCTGCTGCTGCTGCAAATACAGGAACTTACTAGTTGCTACTGCCAATACATACACCAATACGAGGCTGTGAGTATTTGAGATATACAGTACTGCTGCTGCACAAGTAGCCAGTGTTGGGGAAAGTTACTTTTAAAAGTAATGCATTACAATATTGCGTTACTCCCTAAAAAAGTAACTAATTACGGTACTTAGTTACTTTTTATGGAAAGTAATGCGTTACATTACTTTTGAGTTACTTTCGTGTTACTTTTTAAATATGAGCAGGGCTTGATTGTTTTTAATATAAGAAGTTATATTTGCGGCAACAACAATACTACAGCGAGGATAAAAGTTACGCCTTCTTTCTTTGCTTGAACATTTGGGCGGCGTTATGCAATCTTCCCACATCGTGATGTAGACATGTGGGGGTGTGTTAGAACGAGCCGTTTTAGGTAGGCGTGGTTGACTGTAACTTTTATAAAGAATACCTCTTTGGATTTGAGACTTTAGTCTTTGCAACTTTACAGATCTTCTTTATGCACCAAGAGCTTGTAACACTCCAAAGAGAAAGGAAAAATTTAAATTGCATCATATGACCCCTTTAATGAGATTGTTATTGTATAATGAGCCTCAGTCTATGGTTATAATATAACAGACAGACTCATAAAGAGTATGTGAAATTGCAATAGGAGTCTGAAATTGGTAATCTGAGGAATCTGAAATGTGCTTTTTTTCTTTGAAACACAAGCTATAGAGGTTTTCTTTGAAAAGAAAAAAACAAGTTAAGATCGAAACATAGATTCATTCAGCAATGTTACAAGTGGCTGTTTTTTTTTTTTTTTGTAAGTCAATGAATCATTCACTCAACTGATTCATTAAAAAAATATTGATTCATTCAGGAACAAAACCACTACTGTGTGTTGCTCAGAAATGCAGTTTATTCTTTGTTCTGTTTCAGAAGAAGAATACACAAACTACCTTGCAGTATTGTTTCAAACAAAACAAGATGTTACTGAATATTTCCTGATATATTGTTCCTTTTTTGAAAAAGTAACTCAGATATTTTCTTGTAAATTCAAAAAGTAATGCGTTACTTTACTAGTTACTTGAAAAAAGTAATCTGATTACGTAACTCCCATTACTTGTAATGCGTTACCCCCAACACTGCAAGTAGCATATATAATAACCCATAGCAGATCTTTACAGGTGGAGCTGGGGAAGGAGAAGGGTTTCAGAGGAACTCTGAAAACGCGCCGCAAACTGCTCTAGTTAATGCTAACCAGCCTTTTAAATGTAAAGGAGCAAGCTCATTGGCTGATTATGAAACATGAACCAATCACCTTGTGCCAAGTAGTGTAACGCTGTGAATATCATTAGTTTCATGACAGAACCTGGCATATACAGTTACTATGCCATACGATTCTCTGAGGATATGTACAATATTGCATGTAGTAAAGTTTTCACCTCGGTTTCTGATTCCACGTCCTCCACAATCTCACAAGCATTCTCATAGGATGGGTAGATTTTTGTCCAGCCAGTCTTGGTGCAATTCCTAATTATGAAACCTGCATTCAAATAATGTTAAACATAATGATCAGAATGCCACGTTGAATAGGTTGCATTTTGATACATCATTTGGTAAAGAGAAACTTGTAAAACACCAGACCGCAACAGCTGCTCATTACATTGCCTGTAACAGATACATCAAGTACTTTTTCCCTTTAATTAGTCACAAAAATGAAGCAGATGTTTCATTTGTTCTAGATTTTATACCACATTGTAAAACACTCTATGAAGCTACTGTATAAGTTCAATAACTTTAAATCTTAATAACTAAGGATGACACAGTCTCTGCTAAAGTAATCCACAGGTCCTTCCTCTCATTAACATTTGACAGTAAAGGGATTATGTTTTTATTATCTGCTTGTACCTTTTGTTGCATTTCATGATATTTAGATACAGTATGTGAATAGAGAGCTCAGATGGATCAAACCAATTTGGTTTATACACAGTTTAAAGGGGTCATATGATGCGGCTAAAAAGAACATTATTTTGTGTATTTGGTGTAAGTAACACATACAGCTGTTCCCTCACCACAGTGCAACAGTGAAAAGGGACCCCTTTCAAAGAGTGTCGTGTTCCGAACGTTGTTTAAGTGACATACACCGGTATTTCGGTATTTTAAAAATTCATATCATTACAAAAATAAACACCGGTATTCGGTATGAACCGGAATACCGCCCAGCACTAATATATATATATACATATATATATTGCATTTATTTCTATTCGAAATTTAGGGAAACTACATGAGGACGCTCAAGAGAGAGGAATGAAGTACACTATGTGTGTGGTTTTTGTTTTATGTTTTCAGTTCAAGTATATCTAGTCATGTCTTTTACTTCAGTTTCAGTCATGTTTTGACATTTGTTGTGTATGTCATGTGATTACCCCATAGTCTTATATTTAAGCCCTCATGTTTGCCACATTTCCTAGTCATGTATTGAAATTAGTGCTGTCAAACGATTAATCGTGATTAATCACATCCAAAATAAAAATGTTTTATTACATAATATATGTGTTTGTAGTGTGTATATTTATTATGTTTATATAAATACACACACATACAGCATATATTTTGAAAATATTTACATGTATATATTTATATTGATATAAATTATATCATATTTAATATATAAACGTAACATATTTTTCTTAAATATATACATGCATGTGTGTGTGTGTGTTTATATATACATAATAAATATACACACTACAAACACATATATTATGTAAACAAAAATCGCGATTAATCGTTTGACAGCACTAATTGAAATATGTTAAGCTGTTTCGTGTTATTTTTAATTATTTGTTTTAAATCTAGAATTTAGTTCATATGCATGTTTGTTGGATCTTCCTGCCAGCTACATTACACTATGTTTCTAAAAATCCTAAATTAAAAATATGATACTAATATGATAAACATCAATTGTCCAGTAAGACATTTCTCTAATTTTGATTAAATAAACTCTTAAAAAAAACTCTAGTTACTCTTAAAAATGTTTAGCAAGAAAAAAGAAAAAGGTATGATGAGGAATGATAGAAACACTCGCCTAAAAATAAGCTCATACTTTTGAATGTACTTGCATAGCGTGTGTGTGTGTGTTTATATATACATAATAAATATACACAGTACAGACACATATGTAAACAAAAATCGCGATTAATCGTTTGACAGCACTAATTGAAATATGTTAAGCTGTTTCGTGTTATTTTTAAGTATTTGTTTTAAATCTAGAATTTAGTTCATATGCATGTTTGTTGGATCTTCCTGCCAGCTACATTACACTGTTTCTAAAAATCCTAAATTAAAAATATGATACTAATATGATAAACATCAATTGTCCAGTAAGACATTTCTCTCATTTTGATTAAATAAACTCTTAAAAAAAACTCTAGTCACTCTTAAAAATGTTTAGCAAGAAAAAAGAAAAAGGTATGATGAGGAATGATAGAAACACTCGCCTAAAAATAAGCTCATACTTTTGAATGTACTTGCATAGCACACTTCATTTGGACTATGCCTTAGTTAACACTGTAAGGCTTGATATCACAGCTAACCTATAACCTTCTGTCTCCTCACCTACACTTATCTTGGCCATTCTGAAGGCCTTCTAAGTGGGTGGTTTAGTGCTAGCTTGCCAATGGGAGTTCTTTCCACCCGCTGTTTCTAGCATTACCATAAAGCGGAGTTCATCATGTACCGTAAGTCTATCTCCCTGAAGCCACAGTGGGGGAAGACAGAGTAGTGAGGACCTGACCGTTGATGCTTTCTGTGCTGGAGATGTCAGGCATTGGCCTAGGGGGATTGAAGAGATGGAACAACCAGCGCTAACAGCCACCGCTATAATGCCTGCTTTAACCCGCTTTGATTTTTAATATTTTTATTATTTCCTTGGCACATTTTCAGCAAGATTTGGAACGGAGCGATGTAGATATCTGCTGGTCCATTGTGTACTTACGTATTCATAGAGGTGTGGGGGGGGATGGAAGAACAGCATGATGCAGATAGCAGTTGTGTCATGAGTGTGTTGATTTTTCTTAGGCTCCACAACCTTTGTATTGATTTCTCAAAAGCCCTGGAGCAGATATGCTGGGTTCATGATTTTTAAATGCTTTTCAATGCTAATGTGCGTAACTTATGTGTATCTCCTATTTCCTATGGTGCACTGAAAAAAAATCAAATTTGTTACAGCCAAATTTTTTACTGCACATAGAGAATTATATTCATTGAAAGCAAATAAAGTTTAGAAACACAATTTTGTAAATCACAAATAATACAATTTGAGTAAATCAGACCATCTGTGTTTTCCCATTTTTTTCAGTATACCATACTTACAATATTTTCTCCAGACATGAGCTAAAGTGTTACTTTGTTGTTGTTGTTGCTTTTTTGCTTTTTACAACATAATGTTACAACATAGTCATATTTTCTGTTATGTACCAAAACAAAATAAACTCCAGAAAAATTTATAAAACCCACAATATTTTCTGTAAAGCTAGCCTGCATAGTCTGTATAATATTAAAGTGCCCCTATTATGCCATTTTTAAGGTTGCTAATATTGTTTTATGAGTCTCCTAAAACAGGTTTACATGCATGCAAGGTCAAAAAACACGTTAGTTTTCTCAAAAAATTGATTTAATTTTACCTCATTTCTAAATGATTCGTAAACGACTCGTGCAAAGCAGTTCAAAGAATCAGTCTCTCTAATACCCTCCTTTCCGTGAGCCCTCACTGCTGTGATTGGTCAGATGGTGCAGTCCTTTGTGATTGGTCCAGAGCCGTAGAGAGATTGGCTCTGGATTGGTCTACTGCGTACAGCACGTGTCGGAAACGAAACGCCCATTGCAATGACGGAATGACAGCCCTGGCAGTGTTGCCAATTTAGCAATTTTGTTGCTACATTCAGCAACTTTTCAGATTACCCTAGCAAGCTTTTCTTCCAAAAGCACCTAGCAACAAATTTAGCTTTTTTTTTTTATTATTTGGCAACATTTAGCAACTTTTTATAAGTGATTCAACCGATAAAAAGGCACACATTTTCCATCTAAATTACACAAGAAGGGGAAACCAAATTTTCCAGGACATTATCCGTCATCCATTATCCGTTGCAACTCTGTAACTCTGTAACCCAAAAAAAACACAAAATACAATGCACAATTTAAAATGCAGGTTAAAAAAACCTGTGCAAAATCAATAAGGAAAATAGTATCAAGTAAGTCAAGTAAGTAAACATAGTAGACTATTTTTACAGACTTTTCTTGGAGTGTATCATTCAAACTAACTACAAATACACTGCTTAAAAGTATAATTGTTCATAGTGTGTAGTCTTACAAGTTTACTAGCTAATAAAAAAAAACTTAAATTGTAACTGAATTATTGAACACTTACACATTTTTGAACAATGTTGTATTTAAAAATACAGTTATTTATATTTTCATATTATTTTATAATGCATTTATATTATTTTACAAACAGTTTTTAACAAATCAAAATTAACATATACAAAATATATTTTTTGCTGAGATTTGATGCAGCGACACAATTTTGCGTTGTGATTAAGTGATGATGTCATCGCGCAATGACATCACAACGTCATTTAGCAACTTGTAGCAACAAATCGACCTTCCTTTAGCAACTTCCCATGAAAATTAGTTGGCAACACTGAGCCCTGGAGACTTGTCAATACATAGAAAAGATGGTATCGATTGTACCTTACCAATTTGAGCCGGAGTCTGATGATGAAACCACGGTTGAACTGGCTGATCGACAAGAGACTGATTCTCAAGCACGACTGGAGCAGGACGTTTCTCAGTGGTAAGTGTCAAGTGTTAACAAGTTTGTGGTAATTATAAGATGTGATAAAACAAATTTACTCTCACAGCGTCTTCTCGACATGATGTTAACCACACGGACATTTTACTGTTTGTGGGCGGGCATGTTGGCGACGTAGAACGTGGGCATTATGAAAATGTGTTATGACGTAGAGCCGTAACAGAATAAGATTCGAATTCCTGACGACTCGTTTAGGCCATTGCGAGCAGACTCTTTTTTTTGAAAGACAATAACTTTATTTATCGTGCACTGTCTGCTTCACAACTTTGCAGATAGTTTATGTTCACATACAGCTACATGACATACTGCATGAAAGGTAATATTCGAAAAGGCATAATAGGGGCACTTTAACACTCTCAAAATACTATGTATTTAAACAAAATTGTTTCTTGTTATTTTTTTCTATGGGGAGTGGACAAAACTGAAGTGAAAAAAATTTACAAAACTATGATTTCCATTAGACAAATATAAAAATGCACTTTAAATAAATGCCATGGTCCTTTCACTTTTTAATGCAACACAATTAAGTTAAGAATGCAAACTTTATTGTCCTCTGGGTTGCTCTGCCCAGCATTAAATCTCATTGGCCCCAAATCCTGCTCCTCATAACCCATCCAACACCTAGAATGGTGGTGACTATGTCAAGTCGTACGGCAGTTTTGCATTCAAGATGGTAAAATTGCTTAAAAACTGTCATCTTGAGACAGATTAGGACCTCTGACATGTAACGTACAGTAGTCTGTAAAATCTGCTACCAATTTCCTGTAGACAACACTTAAAATCCATCATGAGTACAATTTGCTAGCTCACATGTTAGAAAAACATTGAGAAATAACTGTAATATTTACTCAACCTGTGAAAACAAATACACTCAGTGTCCCTTAGCAACTATTAACAGAGTTTATGATATCCGGATATTCAGAGCTCTAGCTATGAATTTGCAGAGCACTCATGATGTTTCTCTGTGCGTGTTTGCCTTGTCACTTTTATTGCCCTGGGTTGGTGTGTCAGAAAAGACTGTTAAGCAGTTTGCGTCTCCAATCGCTGTGCCTGAGTGCACAAGAGACCAACCAAAGGGTATGGTCTGGCATGGAATGTGCTGTAAAAGATGAATGTGTGTGATTTTTGGCAGTGGTTTTAAATTACATGATGACAGCTTCTTAGGGTACTCATAATATTGTCTGTATTGGTTTGCACAGAAAAAAAGCTCCTGGACCACCACTGTGAGAATCCACCAACTCATCTAATCCACGTCATTTAATTCAGCCGATTGATTTAGTCTTAAAAAAGAGCTTTGTTCACACTGCTATTCGATAACAGCCACAGTAAAAAAAAACAAAGATATTAAAAAAGCTGCATGGGATAGCAGTAGCTTACCATGATTAATCGCGAAGAACTGAGACACTTCGTAACAGGAGACGTTGACAACCTGTCCGACCTCTGCCCTGTACCAGCACCAAAAATCATCCCACTCTGTACGACATCCTGAGATAAACAAAAACAAATAACTAATAAACAGACACATTGGTCACACTTTATTTTAAGGTCCAGTTCTCACTATTAACTAGACAGAGAGAGAGAGAGACACAGACAGACAGACAGATAGATAGATAGATGGTGTCCTGTCAGACTGACAGGAGCAGATGAAAAGCAGATGATGGACATTAAGATGGCAAAGGAGAGTGATAAAGGGCATAGACACACATAGAATTGATAAAAAGGTTTAGACAAGCTAGGCATCTCCACTCTTCACGGGTGAGCATCTGTCTGAGGAATATAAGAGAACTGTGGAAACCGAAGCTGGATGAATGAAGAAGATTCTGAGCATAATGAGAGCCACAGGGATCATATTTGGTCATGACTACATAAATATGACTGCCACATCTAAGCAAGCGATCTTATTTCCACTGCTCGCAGATATACAGTATATCCTCAGTATATTATACACACGTACACTAGTGTTGTTATTGTTAACTAAAACTGTAAAAATGATTTCAACTATTTCAAATAAAGCTGAAATAAAATAAATATAAATATTATATTAAAGAAAATAATAAATAAATTAGAAATGTTGCCATGGCAACCAACTGAAATTCTGTTTAATTACTAAAATATTTAAAAACTAAAACTGCAACAAAAATAAATTAGCTAAATAGAATTGTTTGTTCTAAATTTCATTTGCTTAAAAACTTATAACAAAAACACATAACAAAATTATTAAAACAAATTAAAATAAAATATTAATAAATTCTATAATAGTGTATAAATAATACTGAAATAGGCCTAATGCTCATGTCTAAACACTGACAAACTAAATAGGTATTTCATTGGAGAACAGATTCATGCTCACTGAAAAACTGTTGCTCACTTCTAGCAGTTCCACAATAATGCATAATATAAAAATTCCTAAAGTCTGCTTCAGGTTTTCAAACCATTTTCTGATTTAAAACCACTTAAATTTTTTTAACCTTGAAATATCAGGTTCAAAATCATTCTAATGGTACAGATACTGCAGAAGTCAAATGACTTCTGTTTCTTTCCAACACTCCTCCCAAACGTCTGTTCTGCATATGAAATGGCATACTTCCCTACTCTATAGTACTATATGGAAGGTCCCGTGACAATCACAATATAGCAAATATAGTACGTCCAGATTACATTCACACTACACACATTCATACTATATAGAACATACTCTTTTTGTGGAAGTAATTACTTACTCAAAAAAATACCTACTCAAGAGAGTATGTGATTTCGGATGCAGCTTTTGTAAGTTTGGTGATTACGAAATTGCTTTACAGCAGCAACAAATGCACGTGTACAGCTATACACTGTAATTACGACAGTGATTTCCACTCAATTAACTGTAGGGGGCTTCAAAATCACAAAAATACACAAAACTATATACAATTGATCTTAAATGATTGCTTAATTTCAGTTTTTACTCACTTGCCTCTTACAGCTACTTATCTCTCCTCACCATATTCCCACTTTATGCACATAATAATAATAATAATAATAATAGTTATTAAAATAATTTATTCATTGATCACATACAACCACAACAACACCAGCCTTTGCAGTAATGGAGAAATATTTGAGAGAGAGATAAGACTGAACATCATAGGGAGATCTGGAAAAGTATATGAGAACAAGTGTATAACTCTCTGGAACGCACAGACATTTATGGAAGCCTGGGCTGGTCCCCACAGAAACAAGAAAGACTTTAAAGGCCTGATGCCACCTCATTAATGTAAGTATCATCAAAGCACTACTGGAAAAAAAGCTATATGCATTTATTTTTTATGGCCAGGCCATCTGACTGCCTGTGTTGTCTCTGACAGGACAAGCAGAATTTTATCAAATACGATTCATGAAATATGAACATGTTACTTATAGACTTTTTGAGTACAGTTGTACAATGATTAAGTATTTGAAGATCTTTTTTGAAAAGCACATCTTTAATTAAGATTCTGCTGTTGCAGAAGGTTCTAGGTATCTATACTGTATATCTGAAGCTCTAACAGTTACGGATTGGATACATTAATGGCATTAATGGAACTGAATCAATCTTAGTCGTGTAGCAGAACTGTGAATCAACATAATCTCACACATAATTCAACCTAATACACTGAAACTGATAATGGCATTGAGTTCTCAGTAGTGTATTTTACTGAAATTCAGCTAAATGGCTGTGCCTCCTCTGTGTATTCATTCAGCACATTGACACAGACACTAAGTAAAAACTTAATGTATTATACTACTAATATGACAGTATGTATTGATCCTGATATGAAATATGTTATTTCCCCTTGACTCTCATATTCACTTTAATATGATTCATAGCTATTTAGCAGAAATCTTTGCCATTTTTTTCTGTATTTTATTCCTTTACTCTAATATCTTTTACAACCGTATTTGCCTTTAGGGATTCTCTATTTTATTATAAATAATCTGTTAGGTTACTATGAATATGTACCAATGTGCCATAATCTAACACCAAACATCTCATTCACCACTTGAACATAATACCCTAAAACAACAAAGCACATTAAAAAATATTATAATAATTCAAGTCAGCTTGTTTGTTGTCATTTGGAGATAAGTATTGCAGATACACTTTTACTGATATGATCATTTTGAAATTAGCATAAATTAGTATTTTAAAAAACAATCAAAAACTATCCCCACTTGCTTTTAAGAGCTTGACAGAATCATATTAGCAATGAACATGGCATTCTACATACTTTCAAGTCATATTTTTATTCAAATAAAGATATTTGGAGAAATATATAACAGCAAATCATTGAACTCATCACTATCACAGAATCTACAGTTTTTTTGGTATTTGATAACACATGAAATACCCATTTTATTTTCACCCTATAGAAAATGATGCCTCTCCCAGTGATGATGGAAGGGAGGAAAGGGCAAGAGATGCAGTGTGTGTAATGTGGCGTGCAAGGGCAACGGTTGCTGGATGAATATAATTTAATTGTAAATTCACAGAGGGGCTCTTCTATCACTTCCTGTAGATCCTGACATGTTATAAATAGTAGAACAGAGGTCATTGGTTATTTTTTATTGCTTAATCTGTTGAGGGGCAGAAAGGTCCACACAATGGAGGACATATGTGATATATAATTATCACAGATATTTCAGTCACCTGAACTGATCTTTCCTATTTTCTTTTTCTCTCCGAATGGGTTCTCTCTCAATCATTTTATCAACATTTTCATGGTATAATTTTCTCATTATTTTTAATATATCCTATTATTCTCCATAGACAATAATTTCATGCAGGAGAACATGTACTGAACGCCCACCTGATTGGCTGACAGTTAAGAAGTGGCCACTGAGTCCTGCCCTGCCTCTTTCCTCTCTAACTTAGTGTCAAGCCCAGGCCGCTCTGTAATACATCAAAAGAAGGACATGGCGCCTGCCCTCCTCCACTCCGTAAGATCAGTGTTAATTAAAGACTATGTGGAGCAACAAGCAGATAAACGTGGGTTTCAATTAAGAAGTCAAGGGCAGCACTTACACCTGCACTGATTCTGGTATACTGACTTCTAAAAACCTTTCAGTATGTCTGAACCACACTCGCCAATGCTCTACAAAGATGGAAACAAGACACCCATACCGGCATATCAGCCCAGGGAGGCCTAATACCTGGAAAAATGATCATTTATCTTAATCCTGGATTAGTTCACCAGCCAGCTTGCTTTTGAGACAATCACCTGAGACATAAATGTGATAAATTACTCTAAAGCTGAAGGAAATTATATCATGGCAATGCTAATTAGCTGACAGCAACACAAGAAAGTGCTCAGTCTGGCAGGAGACAGGAATAATATGTCCTGAATAGGGCTGTCAAAATGGCTGAAAAACTAAATTCGAATTTTTTACTTAAATATTATCAAAATTCGAATTATATTCGAATTTAAAATGCATAATTTCAGTTAGGGTGAAGAAAAGCTTTTGGCTTCTCTCCTGAGGCCACAAGAGGGCGCATCGAGCAAAATATTGCTAATGCACATTTCTTCAAAGCACTAACACGACCATCTGTGAAAAAAAGTGCATAATGTTTAAAATAATGTTTATAAACCAATTATAATTAAGTTGTATAAACAACTATAAACAAAACAGCATCATGTATGTATGCATAGTTTAATACAAAGGGCTGAACACCAATCACACAGGGTAAATTTTTCATTTAAAAACATGAGTTGCAGTGGGATGGGGAAAAAACCCGCCATAAAGTCTCGAGATATGTTTTTTCAAAGTTGAACTTGCATTAATTTTACATGGCTTTCTAAACATGTGCCTCTTTTGTGCGAGACGCGAGTGCGTAAAGCATTTACTCGCGTTACTGTAATTGAGTAGCTTTTTTGTGTACTTCTACTTTTTAAAGTAATTTTTAAAATCTGTAATTTTACTTTTACTTAAGTATATTTTGTTTGAAGTATTGTACTTCGCTACATTTTAAAGCACATTAATTACTGAGTAAAAAAATCGCTCCCTGGAAACTACTGCAGTAAATAATGGGCAGGAGAACAAACTGGCGCTAAAATCACAAGAAAGATGCAGTCGGACAAGACAGGCGTTATGGTGCAGACCTAAACGAAACCCCGTCGTATTCTGCTGAAGTTGAACTCGAGGGAAATGAAGTGAACCCCTGGCCATATCTAAGCTCTATTATGCAGTTTAAGCGGTGTTTGCCTAGGGAGACCAAACTAGCAGCTTATAAAATCTCGATATCAACCCTTCGCAAGCATGTATAGGTAAGGTAAATACTTGCATCGTTGCACTGGTGGTTAAAAAGAAGCTTTGACAGTTTAGCAAGAGGTTTTGCACAAATTAGCCAAAAAGACAGTGGTGCAGAGTGTGCGATACGACTATCAGTATTTTGCCAAAAATCAAACAAAACACTCCTACAGAGGCTGTGAAGTCTAGTAGATTAGACTAGTGCGCGCGTGCATTTACAGTGCGTTCTTTCACTGCGTGATTCAGTCTGTTAAAATGCATTTAGAATGATCACAAAATTCAAGATATAGGGGCAGAAAATGTATATATCATTTCATATAGTGAATCAATATCACATGAAGAGTGCCGGTTTTTCCTCCAAATATCAGTATGATTACTAATAGATTTTTTTTTTACAACAGTTCAATAAACAAGAAGTTAATTAAGAGACTTGCGTTTTAGACACCATATTGCCTGTTTTTTGCTCTATTTTTACAACAAAAATCATTCCAAACAG